GTTTGATCATTAACCGATAAACGAAAACAATGATTACAAAACCGGTAAACCTAAATCATCGTATATTATATAACACGAATCGAGATCTAACGAAATACATCCAAACGTTTCACACATTACTAAAATATAATTTCATAATTATTGCTAATAGATCAAGTGTTAGATAAAATAATGATTACAACTAATAAGAGTCTTACCGAAGAATAATAAAGAAAAATAAAAAATAAAAAAAAAAGGACAAAGTAGGAAGGGGGGAGTTTAGAAGGGGGGAAGGGTGGGGGGTAGAGAATGCAGAGCAGGAAAATAGTAGTATATTTCGAATAACTTCCTAGAGGCGCGCCTGTCACGAAGCCCCAGGTCATTGGTGTGGTCACCCCACCCGTTCTTATCTCACCAACTGATGTCTGCGGGCCATCTTTAAAAGGAACACACTCACTTCTCCTTGCAAGAGAACACTCTAATCTCTCTCTCTTTCTCTCTCTCTCTTTCTCTAATACTTGCTGATGAACACTGTCTTTCTCATTCTCTTTCTCTCTTTCTCTGAAGAGAATGAATGCTAGCATAGCACAGCACAGCAGAGCACAGCACAGCATGCTGCTAGTAGTAAAGTTCCCTTCTTTCGTCTTTTCCGTATTCCTCATGGTTGTTGTCGGTAAGGAAATGGTTACAGTTAACAGCAAAGTAATTCTTTTTAAACTTAAGTACAAATTTCCGCGTCGATAAACTGGCAAACTTCAATTCTAAGCAAACGGATTCGTCTCCGTCTTGTTGGAATCGTTTAAAATTCAGAAAACACACACAGAGACGAGATGATGACCAACAAGTATAATAGTATACTTGTATATAAGTGTGTATATATATATATATATAATATCAAGTCACGATATTATATTCCGGTTTCAGCTTTTCTCTTTGCGAAGCTTGTTTATGGAAAAAAAGAAAAAGAAAAATTATTGAACAATCGTCCGGCACCGCCCATTTAATAATATCCAACTTGGTTGGGAGCCACGGACTACTTAAGTACATGCTGGAAAATTCGTTTCGAGACATTTTTATGTCTTTATCTTTAAGAAACCACCCCCCCCCCAAACTCTCACCCCAACTTCCCACCTTAACATTCTCTTTCTCCATCTTAATTTGTTGTTTTATTTCGTTTGTATTTTGTTTGTTAACTTCAACGTTCGCACGAACACTTTGAACGTTAATCATCATTCGAGATAACGGTTAAAATAAAATTTAGCAAAAATCAATCCGTTCGCGAGGAAGTTTGATCGTAACGGGAAGGTTTTTTTTAAACTGGGGATCAAATGAATGATGAAAAGAAAAAGATAAATAGATAGATAGATAGAGAGAGGACACGCACGAAAAGCTTCTTCTTTTTTTTCTTTATCTTCTTTATCTTTGTCCTTCGTTTTATATCCTACGGAAAAAGTCCGTGTCCCGATCGATTATAGACACCATGAAGCAAACAACAATTGGTCCGAGGAATAATCGTTCGATTCGGAGATCCCCCACCCCCATCCCAACTAAAGCAAACTCTCATGACCGTTAACTTTCGTCGCGACGATATTATTCTCCTATCTTGCAGGAGAAATTCTAAACAATCGCTGTGGCACGCCCATCTGTGTTATAGGTGTATATATATATATGTGTTTTATATATATATATTATACTATTGTTAGGTAACGGCTAACCATGTTCCATTTCTTATATACTTACTTCTATGCTTCTTTTACATGTGTATTGAGACACTTTAATCTTATGGGTCTTTTGATCTGAAGAATTTATCGGATGATGTTTTTTAATTTCGAAAAGGAGACGAGAGGATTTATTTAACATTTTTTTTTTGACATTTAATTTACTTTTTTTTTCTCAAACGGTACAAAGTAATATAGGTAATCACGAATATACGAAAAATTCATAATATTGAACAATTTACATAAATACACGCGCATTTAATGTAAATTAATATAAATATTCTTTTAAAATAATATTAGAGAAAATAATATAAGAAAATAATTTGTTAAAAATATTCTCTCCATTATATTAAATTAGAATTATTTTCTAATAGTATCTATTCCTATAATTTTCTATACTGTACAAAAATTATACTCGTATGGTGTATGTTTTTGTATGTGTTAGAAGAGGGTTACCCATTTCACATTCGATAATTATCGTATTAAATATTTAGTTAATAACGACGAGTTATTAACTAAACAATTAGTTCTTTTTCTTTTCTTTTTTAAATTCAACAATGAACTAGATGTATCAAGCGAGAAAGTTGGTAATTAACAACCGGTCCAACATTAATTTATTTTGTTCGCGTCGCGTTTGTTTGAAAATAAAAATTCACTAAATTCGCAAGACTTTCTCCAATTTAATTTGAAGACGCACGAACGAACTCTCTTTATAACTTTTTCAAGATCGTTATAGTCAAAATGTAATTAACCTTAACAATAATGTATACCTTATGCGAAATAAAGTCTGTACCCCGGGTAACGGTACAAATGAGAGAAATGTTATTTATTTCAATTGATACCATTAAAAAAGTATGCCGAAAAAGAATCGTGTAATTTTTGTCACGTTGAGAAAAACAACATTAGATACAGCTTTCTAATTTTGATATTTCTGTGTACCGTATAAATGAGAACTGTATAAATATGTACAGAAATGTCTTGGAAATGACTTGCAAATATTTCGAGGGGTAACGTCCTTGAATTTTAACGAAGAGTTGCAAACAAAACACAAAAATCAAATAAGTAATTAAAATTGTGGAATGTGACGCGAAATGTCAAGACAATATAATTTATTAAAAATTCATAATGTATTCAAGGTTTTTTTCGAATAAAATAATAGAAAGATAAGAGAGAGACGAAATTCTAACGTAAGTATTAAATTAAATGCACTTGTACAAAATTAAACAATACATTTACAAAAATAAAAATGTAACATAACAGTAATCATTTGTAATAATAATTATTCAAATAAAATAACATACACTCAAGTCGAGTGTAAAATTATAAATAAAAATTCGATTTTATTGATATATATTTTTTTTTCGATTAGAAATAATAATCGAACATATAGGAATTGCGTATATGAAAAATTTCCATTAAAACGTGTAATTGTAAATTAATTCGATGGATGATTGGCAGACAGATATAAGATCTATTTTTTTTTTTTTTTTTACACCGAGATACCCTGTAGAGAATATTTCGTATCCGTTGGTGCAAAAGCGGAGGAAGAAAGCAGCAATGGGAGAGAAGTGAACTTCACGGTTCTCTTTCGAGGTAGCCGGAGCAGCCATAGGCTTCCAACGACTACGGCGTGTATAATTTTGAGCGACGAGTGCCCTTGCCGTGGAAATTATGAAACCGGTCCGTAATTGGAATTTGACTAATGACAACGTCAGCTTCGTATCCTACACGTACGCTCGCGTGTAAACGTTGACCGTGTGCACACGGAATGGGAAAGCAAACTTCGTTTTCACCGTGACGAACGTAAAACTGGCGCCTGTGATCGCTTTTCCTACCAGAGAGAAAGAGAGAGAGAGAGATTTCAAAGGTTCGCACGATGATAGTCGATTAAACGAAATTATGTGTGAAATTATTTATCATTGTCATAAATATATGTAAGATAGACTATCTCACTCTCTTTCCCTCTCTTTTATGAATTATCATTTATAATCGTTCGTTTAACAAATACAACAAAAAATATATAAGTAAATTTATCCCGAAAACGGATTACTCAACAAATTTTTAG